AGGATTCATAAAGGGAGAAGAGATGTGGGGGTAATACCAGGAAAGTGAATGTTGCTTATTTGACTATAGCAATGAGAGAAGTCCTCAAAGTGATTTTTCCTTCAACCTGATATTATTATCTTGGTTAATGACTATGATTGTTTCAGATTGTATGAGTGCAAATTCTATGAGCTGAAAGGCATTACTTAAGTTTTAAAAATTTGAGATGTTAATAATTACTCTAAAGAAGTCAATTGAAATCAAGGAGTGCCATTTAACAGATTTAAAAAAAAATTGACTATGGCTTAAATTGTAAATTCACATCATCATATAGGTTAATTGAAAACCCTTTGGAGTCAGCACTTGAGCACCAGTAGAACATATGAACTGTTTTTGGATTTTGCCATGTAGACAAGGCTTATTACTTATTACTACTGCTGACGTTATACCTGTTTTTCCTTTATAAATGAAAAGCCAATGAAGAAGTCTTTGTCTTTGGGCCCCCCTGGTGGTGCAGGAGGTTGAGCACTGCACTGTGAATCTGTCCACAGCCTCTGCAGCACCAGTTCAATCCCAGCCGGCTGGGGAGAATCCCACATGGCGTGGCAGACCTCTCCTGTCTCGCCCGCTGCTCCCCTCAGCAGTGTATTCAGTCAGTCTGCCTGTTCTGTTCCCCGCTCTGTCCCTGCTGAATCCTCTCACCCTCCCACGCATTTGGCCCGTGCCCCGGTTCTTGTATAAATGGATAAATCTTAAAAAAAAAAAAAAAGAAGAAGTCTTTGGCTTCATTTCTTTTTGTTGTGGTGAAAGTTTTAGTGGTGTAAGCTTAATTAAATGCAGGGTGCATTGAATTCCTCCATTTGTGTTGAGATGGTAAGAATCATTTATCTTCCTTGCACAGAGATAGTCTGGATTGGGAGTGGTTCTGACTCGAAAATTCAGCCAGATGGCCTGTCCCTGAGATACAGAGACTACAAATGGTCAGGTGGATAAAGGTGGCTCTTAGAGTCAGTTGAAGTAAATTACTTCCAACTAGGTTTAGCGTATGTTTTTGGATCTCTTGAACATCGTCATAAGCACAGTCTTCAACCCTCTGAATCAACTCAGGTTCTGAAGATCCGACCACTGGCTTATGACACTCGGAAGATTCCTGCAACCTACCAGATTTGTCGCCTCAGATCCTCCTCTTTTTGGCTGAGTTTTGTTGTTGACATGGCTCATTTCCAGCTTTGACTTGGCTTGTGGGCAGTAGCATCATGACTCACAGCCATCTCTGTATTGACAATTATTTGTTGTTTTCTCAAAATAGTGTTTGCTAGTAAATTGTTTTTTAGGCTGTAGTACAAAATGCAAATGATCTTTTATGAGACCAACTTTTCTCTCCGAGGTGGGGGGAGGGGAGAAGGGTGTTTGAGTGATACGCTCCTATACATAAGCCAGATCACTCCAGTATCTCTCAGTTTTTCAATAGAAACCATAGTCTAACAGAAGCCATACAAGATCGTGAGCATTCATAGAAAGCTTGTGATTCTATTCTTTTATTGTATTCTTAAGTTGTAGAGGTAATGTTAATGTTTTACGTTCGTCTACTCTTTGACATAACTATATGCTATAAACCAGTATCTTTAAATACACTCCCCCCACCCCTGCCCTCCCTCAGCCAAGCAGTGCATGCTTACTGGGGCTGAACAAATGCTTTTAACTAAAGAGGCATCTACTCTAAGGCACACCACTCTAATTCTTGAAATCTGAATGTAGGTTGACGTTTTAAACCATGATCAAGTATTTATTTTTTCACTAGACTTGGTATTTTACGTAACAAGGAGCAATGTCCTCCCTCTGTTGACAAGCTGGCCCTACTGGTTTGGCATCGTATGAGTGTTATATGGGGTTGGCACACTCGGTCATCCTCATAAGTGATAACATCTAGGAGTCATTTCACCTCTCTTTATAGCTACATTAGAAAAGGATCCCCAAAAATCTATTAAGATCCTCAATTTATATTATATGTACAACATTATTCCACTATCATGAAATATTCATCACAAAGCTTTTAATAAATAATGCTCTTCCATTCTTAGGAATCCTTGCAAGTTTTATAATGACAGTTTATACCTGTTTCTTTTACAAAGAAATTACTTCAGGGCCTCCCTAGTGGCTCAAGGGGTTAAAGTGCAACTTATGAAGGTATCTGCAGCCACTGCAGCACAAGTTCTATCCCCGGCCAGGGAGCTACCCACATGGTGCAGCAGACCTCTCCTGTCTCCCCACGCCTCCCCTCAGCAGTGGATTTCAGTCATTCCTCCTGTTCTGCTCCCCACTCTGTCTCTGGTGAATCCTCTCACCCCCTGCACCTCTGGCCTGTGCCCCAGTTCTTGGATACATAAATAAATCTTTAAAAAAACACAAAGAAATGATTTTAATGTTGAAAGGCAACATTAAAAAAAAAGGTTTAGATGTTTTAAGAATTCATCTTAGATGTTCTCATGGTGTGTAGTATTTTTTCTCACATGGTAATTGTGAATGTCATAAAATATAATTTCTCATTAAACAGCTCAAAATTTCTAGGAATTATATAAATTATGCTAATTCTCATTAAAAGATAATTTCTTGTAATTATATTGGACATAATAGGTTGATACTTCCTCTACATTATATGAGTGATAAAGCTAGGTTGCATTAGTGAATAGATTAGATAAGTATATAAATTACATCTAGCCAGCAAGGTTTAGGGTCCAGAATTAGACCCGATCTTGAGAAAAATGAGTATAGAAGTAAAGAGGTAATTCTTTTGTATTCTTTATTGAATTACTATTGATTTTCATCACTGCTTGCTTTACAGGAGTGTAGGATCCTGGTAGGTGTCCTGCCATAGTGCACCTACCACCATCTTTGCCTCCCCTTCTCCCTGCCCCTTCACTCCAGTCACCCCCACTTCACAGTCAGCATTCAAGGGTTAGTTTATTAGTTTGGCTTTAACTGACCTTTTGTTTCATTTTTCAATATTCTACTCACAAGAAACACTTCAGTATTTGTTTTTCTACTTCTGACTAATTTTCTTTAGCATAATCCCTTCCAGCTCCATCCATGTTGCTCAGAAGAGCAGACATTTATTTGTTTTTTTTGATAGCTGAGTATCAGTCCACTGTATAAACACCACATCTTCTTGGTCCACTCATCTGTTTTGGGGAAATTAGGTTGTTTCCCTATCTTGGTGATTGTAAACACGCCATAATGAACATGAAAGGGCAATTTTCCTTTTGAATGGGTGTTTTTGTGTTTTGGGGGAGATACCTAGCATTGGAATTGCAGGAACATGGGACATATTCATCTGTAATCTTTTGAGAAACCTCCATTCAGTTTCCACAAGGGCTGGATGAGTCTACATTCCCAAACACAGTATTATTTCTGGTCTTTTTAATTTGGGTCATTCTCACAAGTGTGAGATGGTATCAACCAACAGAGGTATGAAAAGGATTTCCATCTGGAAAGCAGAACCAAGTACCAATGGAAAATACAATTCACCACCAAGAAGCTAGACTTCATTAGAGAATCTAGCTACAGGAGTCTCCAGAAAGGCGACACTTTGAACATCTTGGCAGGAAGAAAGTTGGTATATGTATTTGGGTATTTTATCAGAAAGTGTCAGCAACTTTGAAACAAGCTAGAGAAAAACAGATACCAGCTTGATCCTAGGATATAATTCTTCAGGGAAAGTCAGTGGTTTTATAAACAAAATAGCACGCCAGTGACTCAATAATCTCACCTGAGAGAAAGAGCCCAGAATGATTTCTCAGTAGAGCTTGATATTCCTGGTCAGGTATCAGTCATGGAAGGCTACTGCCAACACCTGGCTAACTCTTGGCAGCCCTTGCTTTTGGTTTATTGCTGGAGTCTAATGATTCTGAGAGCCGTTAGCAGTCAAAGAGCAAAAATGGAACCTGACTCTTGATCGTATGACAGTCTAGTGAAAATCAACCGTTTGAGTTGCCAGATACGTAGCCCAGCATCCACATAACATAAATGCCAACAAACAGCTCTAGATCTTCTGCAAGGACTAAAAATAATAGAATTTAGGAGTAGAGATGGAGGATGTGATGAAGAAGTGTTGCTCTAGGATTAAAAAGAAAACCAATTATGAAAACTGAAGCACTATACAGGTGCCCCCTTTTTTCAGAAGTTCATTTTTCACACTGCTTTTATAAAGGACCTATGTTACTACCTGTTTTTCAGCAACTGAAAGAAATAGGATGAGGATTTTCACTCATACACGAAAGGTTAAAAGAGAAAATAGCATTCAGTACTTGCTTTGGGGCAGTCTTTCTAGAGTCAAGAATAAACTGAAGCAAAGCCTGCAGCAACAGCCCACCCAGGATAAAAAATCAAGCAATCACAGCTTGACACACCCTTCACCCAACTTGCCTATTATTGTACCAATAGGTATTTTTCCAGCATCTAGCCTGGTCTTTGTAGTGGACCTTAGTGTGAAGAATGCAACCTCCTCTTTGTGTCTCCAACCCCCGCCTCAGCAGGCAGTGCAGAGACAGCCAAGTGTTTCTTGAGCCCACACCGCTCAGGCTGAAGCAGGAAACCCCAACATGTGCTTTGTTCAGCTCCAGCAGGCTTCCATTCCGTGTCTAACAATTGTGTGTTATCTTTAACATTCTAAGAGTTGTATAAACTTTTTTGGTTTTTAAATAAAGTTCTCATTTAGTATTCTTTTCCTTAACTCTGCTTTAGATGAATACCAAGATCTCTTATTGTACCACACTAATGTTTAAGATGTTTTTCCATTACATATATCCTTTTTAAAGCATCAGTAAATTATAAAAAAGAATTATATTAATGTATCTGCAATGTATGAAAGCAATATGATTTGTTAGCTAAATTTTTCTTTTGGTAATAAATAAATGTTTATTGATTATAAGGAAAGAACAAGAATTCTGAATATGAATTTTATAGATAAAAATGTCTTGGAATTTCAGGAAAATTTAAAGTGTTTTCCTCTTTGTTCCTTACAGAAAGTGTGGATTATGGGCCAATATTTGTGCAAGAACCAGATGATATAATTTTCCCAACTGATTCTGATGAAAAGAAAGTAGCACTGAATTGTGAAGTTCGTGGCAACCCGGCTCCCCATTACAGGTAGAAATTCACTAGTAATCATTTTCTTGTCTTAAAAATTCCTTTCATTGAGATTCAGGCACTGCCAGGGAGTATTAAAATGTCTGAAGTAATTCTTACATGTTTGTCTTCTGATTTTTCCTAAGATGGCTTCGCAATGGAACAGTAATAGATTTGGAAAGTGATTATCGATACAGTTTGATAGATGGGAACTTCATTATAAACAATCCGAGTGAAGCAAAGGATTCCGGTCATTACCAATGTTTAGCAGCCAACACTTTTGGAAGTATTCTTAGCAGAGAAGCCATCCTGCAGTTTGCCTGTGAGTAAACTATATGCTTTTTCCCATGTGCATGTGTATAATGTGTGTATGTATAAAATTTATATTAGGCAACAGCGTAAGGCCTCAAGTTTAAAAATAGTGGTAAAACCTAGGTAAGAGTTAAAACTATGTGAACAATCCATTTGTTCCCAAGAGACTGAAAATTCCCTACAAGCTTGTCCTCTTCAAATAACTGTTCTTGCCTGAGAAGTTGATAATTCTTCATAAAAGCAAATAACGTTTTAGAATCTTAAGTATTTTTGTAATGTGTTTTAAAAAAAGATTTGTAATTATTCATCTGCTTTTAAAACGTATCTACTTGCCTGCTTTTATACTATTCACTCTTACAGTGTTTGCTATAGACTGTTCTGAACATTAGATAATATATTCTAAAAATTCTTCTTATAATCATTAACTAAAGAAACGTCCTTGAAAGTCTAATATTTCCAATTTTATCACTTTCCTCCTTGATATCTCCATTTTTATTAGAAAAAAAGAAACCACATGTAATCATGCATATCTACTAGAATATATAAATTTCCTAAAACATCTCATGTCTAATTAACTAAATATATTGATTTCTTAAAACTCTTGAAATTATTTCACTGTGAGAGCTCAAACCAAAATCAAGGATAGCTACTAGGTGAAAATCTTATTATTATCTCTAATAAGCAATAGTACGTGAATTTAAATTCTTGGTTTTTTTTTTCATTTTTAAATGTAAATGACTTTTTAATTTTTTTCTTTAAATTTTTGAGGATTACAATCTCTAAAAAACAGATAGAAGGGCCAGGAATCTTTATGTGAATAATTCATATGTAACTATATTGGCTACATAATTTTTCACAAAATGATTTTTAAGTTAAAATTACACCCTGAAGAATGGGATAATTGATTTTCTCAGTATAACCTTCCTCAGATATTATTTCTAATTAACCCAGAATCCAGACTCCCTATTATAGGAGTGTAAAGGAAAAAAGAAAGAATAAAGGAATGATAATGGAATCATTTTGGAGAATATTGAGCTAGGTCCTCGAAAATCTAAATATTGTTTTTTAATCAGATTCAGCTAAGAAGTTCAGATAGGTACTCTGCATACCAAGATTGTTATGTGGGTATCATAGAACTTACACTTTTCTATATTCTCTTAAAAATAACCTAATAAAATAAATAACCCTCCCTAATCACTCCTCTGTCCAATGGAGCAGTCTTTTCAAGACAGATACAGCAAATCCAGAGAACCTGGTATACAAATATTACACCTTTCGCTTCAGTCTATACTATATGACAAAAGTACACTAATGGCAAGAGGCTATGTGCCCATGATTTCCCCCCAAGTCAGACGTGGAGAAAAAAAAAATGCAAAGTTTTTTGCATGCTTTATAGCAGAAATCTATTTCCTGGAAGACTGCCTTCCTAGAATCCCTGCAGATACCAGTCACAGCTATTAAATACGCAAGCCTTCCTGGTGTGGACACATTGACAGAGCACTGACGGCTCAATGATTAGACTAGGGTATCTGTCTACCTATCTACCTGTCTGTCTGTCTTTCTGTCTATCTGTCAATCTGTCATCTACTGTCTGTCTTACCTATTTAGCATCTAGCTGCCCTGAAGTTAGTTTAGAGAACTATTCGCTTTGTTTTTAACTTAAGCATTACTGGTAGACGTGTGTGTGATGCGTTCATTGATAATGTCTTCTGCTCCGACCCTTCCTCTGCCCCACTCCCCGCGCTCCAAGGCGCGGGGAGTCTGTATTGTTATAAAACAATTGTTATAAAACAATTAAGTCCTATTGGTTTAGTTCTATCATTTTGCCCAGGTTATCTTTGGGAAAAAATTACCAGTGTAATTAATATATTTGAAGTTTAGATCAACTTGCTTTCTAGTCTACCTGAGTGGAAGTCTGGGTACTCTCAGATTCTAGAATCAAGATATTTTGGGAATTAGTGGGAGAAAAGGAGGTAGCAAGGTGAGGAGAAAAAAGGAGAACTTCTGAAAGAAAATAAAGGGATACAAATATCAAGTGAGATTTAAAAGTTGGTGGGAATTTTCCTTTACATCATGATTTTCTGTGTTCAATTCTAATAGCTACTACAGAATGATCTGATTTATTGTTAATCAAATGTTTACTATCTGAAGGATTTTTGTGGGTAGAGAAATGCTGATTACTCTTTATACATTTTAAGGCTAACATCATGAATCCTTTATATCCATTAGTCACTATTTGAAAATTTTAATATTCATTTCACAACTAATATTTCAAAACTAGTATATTTTGTAAATGCAGATAATTATTAAGACCTGTTTAATCAAATTAAATATTCAAGTCTAGCATTCAAGTCTCTTAAATATTTTATGTCTTAATACTAAATAACGTTACAAATTATTAAAATGATTACAGAACTTTTTAATGATATTTTTAACTAAACTCTGTCTATTCCGGAAGCATACATTTATGCTTTACTTAGTTTACAATATTTTATATAAATATTCTTCTTGTATACATTAATTTTATCATATAGTTTTCAACCACTTTATTGGATATATTTTTCTACACTGTGTTGTGATCTTTTGAAATCGAATATAAAGGAGGATCATATTACCCATTCCAGGCTTAGTTCCTGCATAATCAACCAATTGCCTTGTTCTTCCTTTCAAATATGTGACCCATTTTACAGACTCAGTCTCTTATTTTTTAATATCAATGATGTCATTTTTGTTATATCAATGACATGTTGGGTCTATAGTTTTTACGTTGTTTTTGCCTTTTGCAGTATTAAATCTTTGTTTAAAATGATGAGATTCAAAGATTTATTGGACAGTGCTAAGTAAACATCAAATGGGTCTCCCCTAATTGTATTCACAGAAAAAAAAAGCACTTATGCATATTTTATAAACAGATAAATCTTTAAAGAATCAAGATAGCCATATACTATCAATCTCATATTTATTAGAGATAATGAAATTTAAACATACCCTATTAGATTTAACATCTGTTTGCATGACATTAAATTATACATGTTATTACTTTTAAATATAATTATATTATGTAATGCAATTTTATTATATTTAATATTATATGATTAATATAATTGCATTATATTAAACTGTGAATGTAATATAATTACATTATATTAAGCTTTCTGACTTTGAGTCTCATTAGGCGCATGAGTTTTTTGCAGATCCAACTTAATTTTACACATATACAAATGTCACCATTTGGCTATGGGGACTTCTTCAGTGCTATATTATTTTTCTCCTTAGTAACTATAACTATACCTTGAGCCATTTTAGTTTTTCTCTAATAATGTCTTGATCTCCTGCCACACTCTCTAGCCAAGCATATGATTAATGACTTTTCACTGATTATAATACATAATGCTATAGAGACTAAAATCTAGGGCCTAGAGATACAAATACGATTGTCCCAGATAAATTCTGGTGGTGGGAGGATGACACTGTTACTAAACTAGTTCACTGAAAGAGATTTTTAGAAACAATGTGTTTTATGGCCTCCCCTGGTGGCGCAGGGGTTGAGCGCTGGGTTGTGAAGCTGCCTGCAGCCTCTGTAGCACCAGTTCTATCCCTGCCGGCTGGGCAAGGGTCCTACATGGCGCGCAGACCTCTCCTGCCGCCCACTGCTCCCCTCAGCACTGTATTTCATCAGTCTGCCTGCTCTGCTCTCCCCTCTGGCTCTGGTGAATTCTCTCACCCTCCTGCTCTTCTGACTGTGTCCAGTGCTTGTATAAATAAATAAAAAATAATTTTAAAAAATTTAAAAATAAAAGATAAATAAGTGAATAACTCCATAACACTGGGGTGGGGGGGAGGGGGAATACATATCTTAAAGTCTGAGAGGTTGTGATATTACAGGGCAGAAAGTCTCACAATTATTGTAGAGACATGAATATGACCTCGGAACCCTAGTGGTTACAGTACTAGGAGAAGCACATTTAAGAAACACTGGGTTTTTAAAGAGCAGAATTTCCTTAAACATTTCTAATTTGATTTCAGCAACATCGATCCAATAGCAAGTTTAGTTAGCTGGACACAAAACCAAACCAATTCCTTAAGTGTAACTATAATTTAGTCATGGGTTATTTATTTCATTCATTTATAAACCCTTTTTGCATTTTGATTTGATCAGTGGGTGCATTGGGGAGGCCCATCTTTTCCTTCGAACCTGCCCCTCACGTCTCTAGATGTCTGCTCATCAGAGCTTTCATTTTAACTTCTTCCTAAATGAGTATTTATAAACATGGCTCAGCTTGATGTTAATAACACACTTTACCATTAATAAACTAGGTACCGCGTGAGGACAGAGTTAGCATTAATGAGGTGGAGGAATCCCATCTCTCAACTGACTTTCCACTTTGGCAAGAAAGACATAAATAATTGGAGTATTATTGGAGTGGTGATTGGAATAATATTGGAGACATAAATAATTGGAGTATTATTGCTAGTGGCAATTGTTACTGGTTATCGATAAGCTTATTTTTGACAAAGTATATTTTATTCCTGTAGCTTATGTTCATCACAAAGACCATTTCCTCACCTCGCATAGTGATTTCTCTTCAGTGACAAGCAAGAATCTACCGCATAAAGCTATCACTCTATTAGCTTATTACCATGCTGATGAGGATTTGGATTGATAATGTGACACTGTACACTTTTCACACATCCTTCAGAAACCCAGCACTCATAGCAATTCCTCTAAAGTTTGGATTTTGAGAAATAACTCATACCAGCAAGTCAAACATAAAATGAATCAAGAATAAAATCTCCTCATGCTTCAAAAATATCTTTATACACCATCCCTGGGAAATTGATAGTTCATATCTAAATTCGAACATACTGCTTTTCAAGGCATTTAGATGATTTAGATGCAGAATGTTCCATTAGTTTTCCTTGAAGCAGTTGATTAAAATAACCTCTTTAACTCTTTAGGAGATTATATGATTTTTTATAGACTTTGTATTTAAGCCCTTTAATTTAACC